TGCAAAGAGAGAGACAGGAACATTCGGCCTGTCGAGGTGGTACCCGCTGTGAACCTGAGACAAAAAAAAAGAAAGACAACAAAAAAAGAAACGAAGAGTTACCGTCTCTATGTATATGTTGGGGGGCGTTGCAGTTCAGTACAATACAGCAACAGTTGATAGGGGTGTGGTGTACGTACACCTCAGAGCAAAAGAAATGCAAACTTACGGTCCATCGGCCGTGCCGGGTGCCTCGAATGAGCGGATCGCTGTCGACATGATACTGCTTGAGCAGGGGATTCCCCATGTGTTCAGTTGAGCAGCACCAGGTGTCTGTACACTACAAGACATGCGTTCTGCTCAGCAGGTGTATGTACACCGCAGCAACCAGCAGACCTTGTTTTGAGGAGGCAGCTGATGCAGGCGAGCCGAAACAAAACCCTTGCCTCGACATGTACACCTGAATAGGGTATTGCAGAACAGGGCAGTGAGAGAAAGCGGGAGAAACCGAACGCAGTCCAGTGGGCTGAAAAGAGAAAGAAACCGAAGGCAGGCAAGTGCTCTCCACACAGCCCTTCACAGCCAAGGCGTTTCGCGGACTGTATGTTCAAACATCTCAATGCAGCGCACAGAAACTGCTGCAGGGAACCGAGGCTCAGAAGACCTCCTCGGGGGCAGAGAAACACACAAAGGTCTAGAGAAGAGTGAACGTCTCAATGCAGAGAGATACCGGCGGAAACATACTGAGAAAAAAATACAGAAACGGCAACTGCGTTTCCATTGACCTGCATGAGCTGCATGTACACCCGAGTGAGTAACCCGGGGAATCTAACTGCGGAAGCTGTCGTATATTTCTTTATGATGCTAATGGCGAGAAAATAGAACATAAAAATAATCTTTTTCATAAAATGTTTAATTAAACAGGTGTTTCGCGGTGCATTGCATTGGGGCCCTCTACAGACAACTAGGGTGTTATCGGGCGGCGGCATGCACGGCGTCAGCATGAGTCAGAGAAGATGAACAGGTGCGATCCTCTCGGAAAAACGCAGCTTCTTTATGATTTTTCTCGTTTTGTATATAAATTAAAACACGCTCTTTCTTTTGATGTATTTTTTATCGCCTGAAATTACTTCTTTAGCGCGAATTCGCCTCAGCCTGTACACCACAGACACCCGAGCGTGCATCTGAACAAGGCGGCTGTGTGGCTCGGCTTGCCTCTGTTTATATTTATGATTTTATTTCACTTCATTGTTTAATATTTTCCTTTATATTTCTTTTATTTGTGCAAATTTCCTTTTGAATATCCGGAAGATATCTTGTACTCAGCTCTCGGGTGGTGTGTTCGTTACTGCGGACGTTCGTACCACTTCATTTCCGTGGGATCTTCACCGTCGCTCACCCCGCATGCATGCTGCTGGTTTACTCTTTTATTTTCTCGAGTTTACCTTTTCAGCTGCATGCACGTTCTGTTGAGCACAGGGGGCGCTTAAGGTGCCCGCAGCCCCCAACTCCCTCTACAATACAATAGCCCCAAGAGGGGTCTTCACCTTGCCACGCATGCGCTGCTGTTATGATGTTTATGCGACAGTTATCCATAAACAGCAGCAACAGCAGCAGCAGCAGCAGCAGCAGCAACAACAGCAGCAGCAACAGCAGCAGCATCAGGAGCTCTGCTTGAGAAAACAGTCGTGCGACCTGAATGCGTTCTGTTTCAAT